GCTCTGGTGCCCCGCAGACTCGCCCGCCGGCTCCAGGTAACCCACCCGCCGCGCTCGCGCAGACCCTCAGTCCTGCGCACCAGCTCACCGCGCCGTGCGCCCCCACGTGCGCCCTGGGTGCCCCAGCCGTAGATCGGCTCGACTTGGGCGCAGAGACTTTTGGCCGCCGCGGGGACAAATTGACTGACAGCGGCGGCCTGAGGGGTGGGGTGGGAGTGAGGGTCACAGAGAGGCGACACTTGGACTGGGTGGGCACCGGCTGAGGCCGAGAGGAGCTAGTTGGGGTTGCGAGGGCTCCAGCGTGCGTCGCTGTGGACAGGGGAGCTACAAGGCTCGACCTGCCGTCGGGTTCTCCGTCAATCTCAGAGCTCTCCATTCTGGTCCTTGCTTTCCCTTCCCTCCCGCCCTATGGCTTTTCCAATTCTGGTGTTTGGGACCTGTCTCTGGAGTTGGGGTGCGTGAGGATGCTCGCGCCACGTCTCCAACGCGTTGCCCAGCCCGCCAGCCGACGGCTCCCGGAGCGAGCTGTAACAACTTAAGTTTCCCCCCTGGCTGTGCAGGCTCTTAGTGGAGGAAAGAAAGGAGGCCATTCACGGTACCCCCACAGCGCTGAGGACGCTCAGGAACCCGGCGACCCCGGTGCCACGCACCACTAACAGGTACCGGCGCCGCGCCGCGGGCGAGGGCTCCAGGGCTGCGGGCGGGCTCCGGGTTGCGGCCGCACCGCGGGACTCGCTATGAGTTGTCTGCCTGGGACGACACGATCGAGTGAGTGAGAGAGTGGATGAGAGAGAGATTCTCCACAGTCCTTTAACATATTAAAGCCTGTTCCTCGATGTGTATGTTCTCGAAGTGCACTTTAAAAATGGGCGCGGAGTTTCCCCCTCAATAATGGTGTGTTAGAATTTCCGAAGAGCAGCAGCTCAGCCTGTCTTTACTAAGCGATTCGGTTGGTTTGCTTTTTGTCTTCTAAATGCTTTAAAGTGCACCAGTGTTTGAAGGAATAGAATCCTTGTGTGTGCTTATTTGTCCTTAGTGAACAGAGATTTAAAATTGCTCTTTATCCATGTACAAGTTGGCTTTTATATTTTTTCCTAATTATTGAAGTAATATGGCTTTGTGCACAAAGTTAGACAATAGAAAACTATGTATAAGGAAATAGCATTCACCCAGAATCTCGCCACCCAGAGACCATATTCATATTGGTTTGGGTCTATATCTTCCCGTGGTCTTTCTATATGTGATGGAAATGATATACATTGAAAATATAGTTGAAATTATACTTTATAGTTGGTGTTCCAACTCCCCCCCCCAAAAAAAAACCCATAGACCTGTACATTTTATTAACATGTATTCCCAAAACATCACTTTGGAATGTTGCATAATTCATGTGAATGTGAGTGGGCCATAATCTGTTTTTTTTGTTTTGTTTTGTTTTGTTTAGACCTTAAGGTTGTTTCCTGTTTTTTTTTTTTTTTTTTGCTATCAATAATTGTATTAAGTCCTTTCTTGTATGTAAATCTTCATTTCAAATAACTCAGGGTGGACTGAGAGAAACTGGATTATTAAGTCAAAGAGTATGTGCATTTTCGGTTCTAAATCACATCGCCAATTGCTTCCTAGAAGAGCTGAATCAATTTACATTTTCACCAGCAGAATGTATTGCTTCATGCCTCAGCATAGCTATTATGACTGCAATCGTGTATACTGTCTCCTTTCCCTCTCTTTATTCCTTGTGAATCCCTCTTCGTCTATATATCTTTCTGTATATCCTTGCCTATGGGCTCCACCTTAATCTTCTGATGACAGGATTCAAGGCTCCCTCCTCCCCCTTGTGACTGTAAGGGTCTGGAAGTGCCTGAAAGAAACCCTGGAGTGAGGAACCATCCCACCAGCCTCCACGTTCTCATTGGATTTTCACAGCCTATTAGAGGCCACTAAGAGATCCTAGAGTAACAAAAGCTTTTGAGAAAAATATTGGCCTGTATTTTTATTTGATTCAGTTGTTTAAAAAAATTAATTCTTCTTATTATTTTCATGCTTACCAGAGAGAGAAAGTAAGAAAGCAAACCGCCAGGTCAGAGACTTGAACCGCAGTCAGCCATGTGAGAGTACAATGCCTCAACCACCACACTACCTGCTGGCCCCTTATTTGATGCAGTTTTGCATCCTGTAAGCAGCCTAGCTTCCTTAAGGAACTGGGGAGCAGTTATCTCTTCCCGAGTCTTGCAACTATGAAACATTTTGGGGTTGCCCCTTGGGGGAAGCTTGAAAGTATGTGCTCATTAAATGATCTGGTCCCAGGTCTTTTCTGAGGTAATTCTTTGATGCATTTTTCACTTTCCTTTGGTTTACTTCTTTTCTACTTGACATACTTCTTGAGCTAATATAGATGATTCCTGTATTTTTTTTTTTCTGAATGAGGTCCATTTTATTAAAATTTCTTATGTACACTGTTGTTTGCAGAAACCTTTTTGTCTTTTCATTTATTTTATATCCCCTTTATCATTTCTGATTATGATTATTTATAAAGCAGAAGTACACATTTCAATCCATTATATCACTTAGTTTTGTAGAGAAATTATGATTTCTTTATTTCTCTGTACGTACCATGCTCTTTCTTCATGAACTGCACACTAGGTAATGGTGTTGATAGTAAAAAGGTAGCCAATGCTAATAACTCTTCTTATGGACCAGACACTTATCTTAGCACTTCACAGTTTTTAAAACTCATTTCATCTTTAAAAGCTACTAAAAAAAAATCCTATTATCTTCATTATATAGATGAAAAATCAGTTTTTCTTCTGGCCTCAGTGGCACAGAGATGAAATAAAGTCAGTGTTAAAAAGTGTGGAACGAGGAGTCTAGCCCAGAGTGTGTGGACCCAGAATCCCACGCCCTGAATACCCTCCTGTGCAGCTTTTTTTTTTTTTTTGGAGAGGTTTTTGCTATAGGGTGCATGTGCTCGCCAGATAGACAGACAGAGACAGAGAGACAGAAAGCGAGAAATCACCCCCCAGGGGGGATGGCCACGCCTCAATCCCTTCACCTCCACCTCCATTTTTCTCTCAGGATCTTGGGCACGCACTCACATGTACCCCACGTGAGTTTAAGCCACCAGGTCCGGGACGCGAACCGCGGTCGACCACGTGGGAGTCCAGCGACATAGCCATTACACTAACTGCTGGTCCCTATGCAGCTTTTTATTGGTATTGGGCGAGATGGTGTCTGTCTGCATGCATACATGTGCATGCTTAGCTGTGACAATGTCAGCATCTCTTTCTGGTGGTATTTATTCTCTCTGGGAACAAATGCCTGGTCTCTCAGACTGTTTTCACCACCTCTTCTTACTTAGAGATGACATCCAGGTATGTAAGGAAAGGGTCATAGAAGATGTGGTGGTAGAGGCCGGGTGGTGGCGCCAGGGTAAAAAATAATGCCCTGTGAGCCTGACTCACATGGGAAGGTTCTGGGTTTGCATCCATGGACCCCCTTGGGTATACCTGGCATGTGTGTGCCCATGACCTGGGGCTGCCTAAGGCTGAGTGTGTATTGTGGAGTCAAGACCCTGATGGACTGCTGTCTCTCTATCTTTCTCTTCTCTCTCCATCTGTCTCTCTTGCTCATGGAAGAAATAAATAAACTTAAAAAGGAGTTGAGATTCATGATCGTGGTATCTATTTATTCCTCTAATTTCCTGGGTGATGTTGTCCCTTTTCCATATGGTGGCCAGGTACCCTGTTGATAGCCAGTTAGGAGATCTATAGCATGCAGTTCATGCTTTTTCCTCAGGCACCACACCTGCTGGTACTCCCTGGCTGTCTTCATCTGACCTCCCATGGAGGCTCCCTCTCAGGGATCTGGTAAAGATTCTCTTTGGTCCTATTCTGGGCTGTCACTGCAACATTTGCTATCATGCCATCTCATAAAGCTCTTCCCAGCTAGCTCCAAGCTAGCCTGTCAGCTACTTCTGTATTCCATCTAAATATACAAGAACCAGAGTTGGATCAGGAAATGAAATATCAGGGCCTCCTTCCGCTTGCCCCACCAAGTAAATATATCCCTATTATAAATTAATTTAAAGATAAGGAACTGCCAAAGAAGCGATCTATTTCCAGAATCCTAAAAGCCTCCTCTGCCCTTGTTATTACTCTTGTTATTACCTCGTTCTCCCCATCTTTCTCCCTCGAAGCCAAAACTCTCTTCTTCCACCCTTACTCAACTCTGGAAATAGCAAGCTTCTCTCTACTTCACATTTTCTTAGCCCTAAGCCAAAACTCTAGGCCTGACTCAGACTTAATTCTTAATGATAAATTGGGTGACCAGAGGAAAGGGATTGGAAAAACTCAAGGAATTGTGTCTACCAGGTAAGGTGGTTAATGTGCTAAAGTTGTAGAATAAGAGGAATTTGGAAAATCTTCTCTTGGAACTGCAGCAAATTTTATTTTCCTTGTCTAAAGCAGAGTAGTTCTGTATCCTTTCTCTTTGAATTCTTTCAGTAAAAAGTATTCATCTTTCCATCTTTCCCCACAGTAAATTTCAAATCAATTAGGGAAAGGTCATGTACTCGGAAAGACAGAAGAGAAAAATAAAGTTTTCAACATATGATTTTATTACAATGGATTCTTTGTCTTTCTAATATATTTTATCAAACTAAGTGTGTCATTGGTTTGCTTGGTTTCAAACAACCAGCTTTCAGATTTATTTGTCAGTTCGATATATTTTCATGTTATATTTTCTCTATGTTACATCTTAAAGTATTCTTTTCTCTTAAAATCAATGCTTAATATTTCATTATTTTTCCTTTTTCTTTCATAACAAAAATATTTATTACTATGAATTTTCCTTTAAGTGCAGCTTTGGACTAATTTCTTTTTTTTTCTTCTTTCTTTTTAATTTTAAATTTCTTAAACTTAAAAAGGAGTTGAGATTCATGATCGTGGTATCTATTTATTCCTCTAATTTCCTGGGTGATGTTGTCCCTTTTCCATATGGTGGCCAGGTACCCTGTTGATAGCCAGTTAGGAGATCTATAGCATGCAGTTCATGCTTTTTCCTCAGGCACCACACCTGCTGGTACTCCCTGGCTGTCTTCATCTGACCTCCCATGGAGGCTCCCTCTCAGGGATCTGGTAAAGATTCTCTTTGGTCCTATTCTGGGCTGTCACTGCAACATTTGCTATCATGCCATCTCATAAAGCTCTTCCCAGCTAGCTCCAAGCTAGCCTGTCAGCTACTTCTGTATTCCATCTAAATATACAAGAACCAGAGTTGGATCAGGAAATGAAATATCAGGGCCTCCTTCCGCTTGCCCCACCAAGTAAATATATCCCTATTATAAATTAATTTAAAGATAAGGAACTGCCAAAGAAGCGATCTATTTCCAGAATCCTAAAAGCCTCCTCTGCCCTTGTTATTACTCTTGTTATTACCTCGTTCTCCCCATCTTTCTCCCTCGAAGCCAAAACTCTCTTCTTCCACCCTTACTCAACTCTGGAAATAGCAAGCTTCTCTCTACTTCACATTTTCTTAGCCCTAAGCCAAAACTCTAGGCCTGACTCAGACTTAATTCTTAATGATAAATTGGGTGACCAGAGGAAAGGGATTGGAAAAACTCAAGGAATTGTGTCTACCAGGTAAGGTGGTTAATGTGCTAAAGTTGTAGAATAAGAGGAATTTGGAAAATCTTCTCTTGGAACTGCAGCAAATTTTATTTTCCTTGTCTAAAGCAGAGTAGTTCTGTATCCTTTCTCTTTGAATTCTTTCAGTAAAAAGTATTCATCTTTCCATCTTTCCCCACAGTAAATTTCAAATCAATTAGGGAAAGGTCATGTACTCGGAAAGACAGAAGAGAAAAATAAAGTTTTCAACATATGATTTTATTACAATGGATTCTTTGTCTTTCTAATATATTTTATCAAACTAAGTGTGTCATTGGTTTGCTTGGTTTCAAACAACCAGCTTTCAGATTTATTTGTCAGTTCGATATATTTTCATGTTATATTTTCTCTATGTTACATCTTAAAGTATTCTTTTCTCTTAAAATCAATGCTTAATATTTCATTATTTTTCCTTTTTCTTTCATAACAAAAATATTTATTACTATGAATTTTCCTTTAAGTGCAGCTTTGGACTAATTTCTTTTTTTTTCTTCTTTCTTTTTAATTTTAAATTTCTGTTAGAGGGCATGTGAGCTTTCTAGAGAGATGGATAGGAGAAAGCATCCTGCCCCCATTGGGAATGGCCACACAGGAATCTCTCCTCTTTCATCTCTCCCTCCTCATACATCCAGTGTATTTCTTGGCCATCAGGTCTGGACTTGAACCACAGAGTTGGCCATGAGGGATCTGCCTGCCTTTACTATCAGGCCATGGAGCTGACCCATGGATTTATTTCTTGTTTGGATGCATAGTGTTCATATTTTAACAAATATATTCTAAAGTGTTTATAAGTACATTAAATTTTAGTGGCAGGGACCAGCAGTTAGCGTAATGGCTATGTCACTGGACTCCCATGTAGTCGACCACGGTTCAAGTCCCAGACCCAGTGGCTTAAACTCACACCGGGCGCATGTGCGTGTGTGCCCAAGATCCCGAGAGGAGAATGGAGGAGAAGGGATTGCGGCGTGGCCATCCCCCCTGGGGGGTGATTTCTCACTTTCTGTCTCTCTGTCTCTCTCTATCTGTCTGGCGAGCACACGTGCCCTATAGCAAAAAGCTCTCCCCCCCAAAAAAAATTTTAGTGGCAGTTTTCCACTAAAATTTCTGGCTTAAACATCCATGGTGATGATTCAGGATCTTGTGGTTGTCTAGGACTTCTTGAACAGCAGCAACTAATCTTTGAATGTTCTAGTTAGTTGGTCCCTGTTTCATGGGCCCATCTTGGATAATTGGACTATGAGTTTACCAGAGGCATGAGGACCCAGCTTACACGTCTCCATTTTCCCAGAAAAATTTATCTACTATTTTCCTTAATGGTCTTTCTCTTCTCTTCCTATGGCCCTTTCTCCCTGTGGGACTTTGAAGTGTCTCTGTTTGAGGATGGGGTCTAGATAGAGGGCAGATATCAATTATATTATGTCCTGATTTGTATTATTGTGTGGAGTGTCATTTCAGACGTTTTACTGTATGCTTTTAGATGAACACAAAGAAAAGGAAAATTACCTGTCATTTCAACACTCTAAAGATGTCTACACTTAATATTTTGTTACCTTTTAAATATCAGATATATGCATATATGTAGTAATTTTGCTATTGCTATTTTTATATGGGATAGTCATAATTTTTTTAACAACTGAGTTTTTTTCCATACCATTAGTATTATTCTGCTACATAATTTTTAGAGCATGGTATTGAAATGTATAGATGGTCCTAATTTATTCTTTCCTTTTGTATTTGGGTTACTATTTTTGATTTATGCTCTCACATGAATAACTTTATATAGTAGCCTTACATAGTGTGTTAGCTTGCCTTTTTGCTGCTATAACAGAATGCCTGAGATTTGGTAATTTATAAATAATAGAAGAGGGCCAGCTCTGTAGTACAGTGGCGAAACACTATGCCAGGGAATCTGGATCCCACATGGCGAACAAGGGTTTGAGTCCTGGCCGTGGGTGCTTGAAAAACATGCCAGGCATATGTGTGCATACTCAGAATCCTGATGGGGTGGAAGAAAAAAATTGCAATATAACCAGGCCCTATTGGGTGTAGGAGAGTGCTTGCTCTCACACATACATATGCCATCTGGCATACACAAAGAAACAAGCACAAACAATAGAAGTATATTTGGTTCTGCAGATTAGGAAGTTTAAGAATATGGTGCTGGTATTTGGCAAAAGTCTTTGTACTGCATCATCCCAGGTGGAAGGTGGAAGAGCAAGACAGCACACAAAACAAAGAGAGAGGATAGAAACCTATTCCTGTGATAACTCATTCCTGTGATAATAGCACCAAGTCGTTTATGAGGTCAGAGATCTCATGATACAATCACTTCCTAAAGGGCCCACTTCTCTATTCACCTGCCTCTGCCCCACCAGTTCTGTTGGCTGGTATAATCCAGTGGTGAGTTGATACTAAACACCAGCTAAGGAAACAGAGTTGTTCTTCATGTGGGTGACTCTGCTTAAAGCCTAGAAATAGTCTGGAAAAAGAAGAAAGACAAAAAAAAAAAAAAAACAAAAAAAAACCGTTGTTGTATTGGGGTTAAGTACCTACACATAAACTTTGTGGGTCACATTTAAATCACAGCACACCCATTCCTGATTATTCACTCATTATTCTGATAATTTGTGAGAAGTTGATTGGCTGCATCAGAATATATGAAAATTAAAAATGTTGCCATGACTTGTGCAACAATTTATTCCAACAGTTGTTCCAATTTATACCCCTTTCAACAGTATCAGAATGATTATTGACCCAAACTCTTACCAGTACTATGTATTACAATTTTAACATTTTCTTTTCATTTCAATCTCAGGATGAAAAATTGATGTTTTGGTTTGTATTTATTTGTTTACATGTGTTTAATTTTTAAGATATTTGTCAGCTATTCTTTTTTTCTAAGTAGGCTTTTTAAAATTAATTAATTAGTTAATTATATTTTTTATTATTTCAATTTCTTTTATACATTCAATCATGTTACTAAGCTTGCAAAGTGAAAATTCCAACATGTGCACATTTCGCACAGGTCCAGCTGACAATACTATAAGGTTATCCTTCACCAGATAATAGCCCATTACTTGATCCCATAAATGCCTTACCTCTCTATTTCTCTCTTTAATGTCCTTCTTCAGACTTTACTCCTTCACCCTCCCTCTTCCCACACTGTATCTGGTATTTAAAACCATTTACTGTGTTTCTATATCCTCTAGTAATTCAGTTTGGGCCATAGTGTACGGACAATCAGTGTATATTAAGTGGAAACATACAATGTCTCTCTTTCATAGTCTAAATAGGCTTTTAAAAATGATTTCTTATTCACATTTAGTTGTACATCTCTATAGCACATAATGTGTTTTTTCAAAATATGCATGCTGTACATGATAGTCAAATCAAGGATATTATCTTGTATGTAATTTTTATCAAGGAACTTTATTATTCTCATGTCTATAGGTATTTCTTCTCTGAGCCCCTCATATCTACCCTCTGCTATCAAT